ATGAACTATAATGGGAGAAAGCTTGGAAAACGGTTGAGGTAGAGACAGGCAGTGGGAACAGTTTCTTTGAGAACTTATTATGAGCAGCACAAGGAGACGAAATTCTGAAAAGTAGTTTATCAAAACATCTGACACCGGGATCCATGGGGGGGGGGGGGTGTTGCTATTTTCTCGTGTGATTTAAGCAGACACATTCTCTAAAAGCCCAAATCATATATATCAATGTATCCAATATATCTGTTTAAATAATGTATTTTATGACAGCACTGCGTATTTTTGGCGATTAAATTTACAGTATGTAAAGGTCTTCAACCCTTTTAGTTTCCAGTACGTGTACTTCAGATAATCTAATAATTTATAATAACACAGTCATTTTCCTATAATGAACAATTTAGAAACTTTTGGTTTAAGAATATATATATAAATATATATATTCTGTCTTGTCCACAGGTTCATCTTGTAGGTTTTCTTTAGCGTGTAGTGCGGTCCTCCTGTATTTACTATCAGAAAAGGTTTATGGAAGGATGCACGAAACATTCCAAAGAAAATGGTCTGAAGGATACAATTCAGCCGAAATGCGTATAGAAATAGTCTTCGGAGAAATATGAAATTCCATTTCTGAGTGGAAAGACGGGGGTCATATTGACCATTTTTTGTTGATGTAAACTGAGGTGAGTGTGGTATGACTACTTAGTCCGACAAAAGATAATTTGACATTTTTTAAAAATCGTATTATGTTCACAATTAATTGAGCGATGGACTTACAATTTTGTGTGAAGTTGTTAAACATGCATATTGTATTACATGTGAAAAGTGAATAATATAGATATAATACTTTTACAATTATTCCACTAACTACTTGTATACTCGTTATTTTCCGGGCTACCCGATATGACCATCTTATATATGCATAAACGATTAAAGGATAAAGGAGATGAAATAAAGTAGGGCATAATGTCCTACTTTTCTGCACTAACGAATTTACTAAAGACGGACACACACACACCATGCAGTGTCCTGTAGAAAAGCGGACGGTGACTTTTTTTGCACCAACGTATTTTATGAAGATGGGCATACAGTGTGCTGTGAGGAAAGTGTGCACTGGCTTTTCTGCATAATATGCGTATTTTATGAAGAGGGACATAAACTATACACCATGATTAAAGAGGACAGTGCACCAACAGTCATACACTATACACCGTTCTGTGAGGAAAGCGGAGAGTGGCTCTTCCACCTACTCTTCATCGGATTCCAACTGCAGTGGGTTCTTTTAGGTGCACGCCAACGAATCAGTGCCGGATTTACCATTGTAGGCCTACTTAGGCGTGCTTAAGCACAGGCTCCCGCTGGCGAGAGGTAGGGGGTGCATCTTCCTTCCAAAATTAATTTCAAAATCCTGCTGATAATTCAAAAATTTGAATAAAACTTGTTAAAAATAATGATTGATCAAGAAAGATGTAATATTTTAACTACTCATGTGTACCAGACTGTGTAGGCATGCCGGGTCTACCTCCTTCAGGGCCCAAGTAAGGGGCCTCATAACTTAACTAGCACCGGACCTCATTTTGACCTAAATCCGGCACTGCAAAGAGTATATGAGTGGATCATGTTTTTCCGTTCAATCCGAAAGACTAGATGATCTTTCGTTGCCATACCCCCCCCCCCCATCCTGCACAACAAGGCGAGAAATTAGCCTATGGTCCCGATGGATAAAGGCATGTTCCCTCTATTAGACTACATTGTCTAGTTAACTAGTTTTTGTTTTGTGCACGCCACTTTTATTAGAAATGAAATGGGGCTTAACGTCCTACGTTTCGGCATCAACCGGGATATTGAAAACGGGAATAGGGAATGCAGGTTGTTATGAACACAATAATGTTCCAACTACCAAGGGTTCTTTACGTATAGCTAACGTGTACACGGGGGCTTGTTTTTTTGTGTGTCCCATCCGAAAGACTAGACAATAAATAATAAAGAAACAACTCTAATTAGTAGGCCTACCTTGTTAATTGTTATCTTTTAAAAAATAATTCTTGACGATCTGACACCGTAGTATTATAGTTTGAAATGAAATGGGGTTTAACTTCCAACTCTTCTGCACCGACAGGGCTAATGAAGTCGGGTGTACGCCATGCAGTATAGCCCTATAATAAGGAAAAGTTCGCTCTATTCACAGCGGCGCTACGGTATAAACTTCATCACATTCCAACTGATAAGGAATAAAGGATAGATTTGCGGGAACGGGGCCTCGAGTTTTCGTCCCATCCGAACGTCTAGTGTTGTTCCATGCCAGGCCATCATTCCCTGCACCACTGACATGGGGAGAAAATGCGAGAAAAGCTGAGGAACCTTCTCGACCAACACCGGGTTCGAACCCGGGGACTTCGAGCGCCTTCCATGTTTATGGTTCTACCAAGCTTATCACTAAATAATTTATTTCGTGTCGAAGATGATTGTCCGCGGAATGGTGTAGCAAATAGAATGGACGACATTCAGATTTAATATGTTGTCTTGAGATTTTTTCTTGACTAGCATGGCAACACGTACTTGGTGTGCAGTTTAATTGCATGAATATGGAAGGGTATCGCTGCCAATATTAAATGCTCTGCTACAATGTCTTTTATATTGATTATATGTAAAAAGTACAATGTACAAAGTGATAATACCGGTAATGATAAAGTCAAAATATCTCTAAGGCAAGAGTTAAATGTAAAACGTCAAATGTTAAGTGTTAAATGACAAATGTTTTGTGGGAAAATGCCTTTTTTGACGTGTCTACATTTTACATTTCTCTCATTACATTTTACATTTGCTCTCTGCCACATCCCATTTGTCCTTCACGTATTCTACATAGCATGTTTCGCACATCATCAACTTGCATCTGCAAATGTAGGATATCACGTGACTTATTAACATATATACGGAAACCTGGCACACTATAAGCCAGAACAGGGATATTCACGACACTATAACAGGAAATCAGCCCAGCACACAATAAAAATTTACTCACCTTGACACTTTGGATGGCACTTTATGATGATTACGGTGGGGAGGGGGCTGTGCAATGTCCAAATACGAAATTTCAGGTATCATGTTACATATTAGTGAAAATCACATTCATTTGTGTTTGTAAATATGTAAATAGTTATCTGGTCCAATCATATTTTCACATAATTTAAATCCAATAAATATCACACTATTAAAGGTGTATTCAAGTAAAAATACTGGTCTAAATACGAAATTCCAGATACCATGTTAAGTTTCACTGATTGCTCTTTTCAAATATGCAAATAATTTTCTGGCACATTCATATTTGCTCAACTTTACAAAATAAGATTAAAGTTGAAGAGAAGGAAGGGGGGGGGGGACTAAACTAAACTAAAATAAAGATACAGGGCTTAATCAATATATTATTTATTTGTTGGGCACAATGCTTATATATTGTTGTTTTTTTAATGGATCAAAGTAGGCTACTCAACTCTGTTTATAGAGAGACCGGAAAGAGTGGGGGTGTTTAAAATATAAAAAATACGGGTATTAATACGAAATTCCAGTTATTGTGTTATGAATTACTGGAAAGTATGTTTCTTTGGCTGCTTGAATCTATCAATTATTTCCTGGCACATTCAAAATTACGCACGGTCGTCTAGATAGTTTTTTATGGTGTGTCAGCTTGATTTCTTTTGTCGTGCGGTGAATATCCTTATAGTGTGCTTGTGCTGGGTTTCCATATATGTTAATAAGTCACGTGATATCCTACATTTGCATATGCAAATTAATGCTGTGCGAAAGTTGCTATGTAGAAAGCGTGAAGGACAAATGGGATGTGGCAGAGCGCAAATGTAAAATGTAATGAGAGAAATGTAAAATGTAGATACGTCAAAAAAGGATTTTACCACAAAACATTCGTCAGTTAACACTTAACATTTGACGTTTTACATTTAACTCTTGCCTTAGGGGTATTTTGACTTTATCAATATCGGTATTAGGACCTCGTACATTGTACTATTTACATATAATCAATGAATACCTCGACTAGGTTTGATAATGAACATATTTTTCTCCGGTTAAACAGGGGATACAATGCCAACAATACTGTATAAAGTTGTAATGTCGCTATTCTTGATTTTTTTTTTATCCGCCTAGGATTCTTCTTAAATCGCGTCCGTCGATCGGTTTCTCTCCACTGCTAAGGACTCCCTTTTTAAAAAAGAAAAGAAAATCCTGTATCCGCCCCTTAAATTGTGATAGTACAAGGCCAAGCTCTCTCCATAGAAAACGAATTATGTAAACACCAGATATAATATACGACAGGACAAACTCAAACTGGAACAAAACGTACGTGTAGCATTTCGAATACGGTATGGTGAAAATAATTTAATACTTTACTTTGATATGTTTGGCTGATCTGGCAGTGTTTTTCTTGAAGCGGGGATGGTTGTGTCGTTTTAGTTGGGGTCAGTTTCGTCCTTGTTGCGTAAGACTTTTTAGTGCCTATCAATATCAAATCATCATCGTCAGGTGATCTCATGTTATGTTTTTTTAGTGATCATATTCAAGGCCACCTAAATAACAGAAACGTACGGTAAACCTCGGATTATCATATTCATAGAAGACACGTGTAAGGCCTAATTTTGTTCTTTCTTTGTGAAATTGTGGTGGTAATTGTTCTATTGATTTGGACACATATATAGTAATTGTTCTTATTGTCAATTATTATAACTTTGTTATAATATTGCTTTAACTAAATTGAATTCGGAATGTCATAGTTCGTAGTACTACTAGTAGATAAGGTAGCTTACGTACCTCACCGCCCAACACTCAAATAAAACAAACACTTCAGATGTACCGGTCTACGTATCGCAAGGTTTTTAGCGACGTCCTTGTGTGTAGATTTATGTGTGTGTAATTAGAGGTCCTATGAGTTTAAAAGAATATTGCTTATATCGTGCGCCTATAAATAGATTTATTACTGGTTGAACTATTTCCGGTGTAGAAGTTATCACAAAACAAGATAGTTGACACAAGAGAAAATATATATAATAAATTGATCGTGTTTGGATCGAATCGTATTTTATGTTCATGGGAATCCGACTAGCAGTATTAAACGAGGTCAGGGGATGGTTTGCGAACTGTAATTGTAAGTAAATAACAATGTCAGTATGAAAAAAAAATGAAATTGTGACTGTGTTGAGTGAGCCTTGACGCCTGATGGACGATTAATTGAACCAGTTACTTTTTTGCACCTAAAACATAATCAAGCCTGAACATATAAATAAGGCATATGTCACAGGCTTTGTCAGACACATCATTGAAAGTATATTATAAATAAATTATAATATGAACGTTGTGAAATAAGTTAATTTGTGTCTGACAAAGTCTGTGCAGGCCTGTAGCTAGTGGTGGTGGGGGGGGGGCAGCTGGTTGGCGAACCGCGCCTTTTCCATTGGAAGCAATACGAAGCCAATGACCAACATGCCCATATTAGGGGGGTTGGATGGCTGAATGGTTAGCGTGCGCGTGCTGTATCATAAAGTCTGTCATTGAGTCGACTGGCGTGGTTTCGAATCCAGCCTGTCCAACCTCGTGGGTTTTCTCCGGGTCCTCCGGTTTCCTCCCACTGCTAAAGACCCCTACGCGCAAGTGAATTAAACCATATGTTAGTCCCGAAATGACCTAGTTTGTGTCGAGTGGACGTTAAACCCCATTTCTCTCTCTCTCTATGCCCATATCAGTATGGGTGCCCCATAAAGACGAATGCCATTGGTTGGGCTGCTCACCTTGCCCCAATTTAATTTCATTAATTCTTTTACTTGTAGAAGTCCTTAGCAGTGGGAGGAAACCGAAGGACCCAGAGAAAACTCTTGTCTAGTCTAGTTGGACAGACGACCCTACTCCTTCAATCTGATTAAAATACAGATTTTTGAACTATGAAAACGAATTGAAATGGGATCTGTGTTTTAATCGGATTGCTACTCCTTGTGCAGTCAAAGAATCAAAACTACGCCACTTGACTCAATGACAGACCTTAATATGTTACGTCGTTAAACCACTAGAGCCCCTTCCCCCAATGTCACAAACATTGTCAGACACAAATTATAACACAAGATAGGCCCATATATTATGATACTAGCAGACGTTAAATAAAGCTATTTCACACACACACACACACACAATACCCAGCTTCGCTCTGGGCTCAAATTCACATTGGCCCTATTCGCCGAGAGCCCAAGTTTGCCCAGGACCCAAATTCGCCCGAGGCCCAAATTCATGGGGTCATGAGAAATATGGTTACTGTTACTACTAAATGCAAAAGCAAAAAAATGGAATGACATGAAGTTCTACTGTTCTACTGCGACAGGGCTAATGAAGGAGGGTGTATGCCATGCAGTATGCTACGGACTACTCTTTCATAGAATCCAACAGCCAGTGGTTCTTTTACGTGCATGACAATGTGTACATGGGAACTACTAAATGCATGTGCTTATGTAATGTAATAATCAAGCCAGACGTTACCAAAACCATACTAATTTTTTATATGCTTTACAGACTGCGTGACCAATAATAATGGAATTAATAGAGACAGACGAACCAGTTAACGTAGAAACCGAAGAGTCACCAAAACCACCATCTAAATGTTCAACCCATAATACGTGTTTACCACCATGTCGGATATGTGGAGAAAAAGCATCAGGTTTTCACTATGGTGTCAATACATGTGAGGCCTGTAAGGTAATTTTATAAATTTTGTATTAAAACCAGGGTTACATTCAGTAGACAACATTTCACGAGATGGAGTTGTAACCTCATGTTACTGAGGTATGAAATTGTCTTGTAAATGCCCCAAATTACCAACAAAAGAATAAATATGCGACAACCCTTGTCAACTGCTCGGACGATTTAGCTGCTATGGGCATATGTTTTGTTGCTTAGCAACCTATCTTTTGTGTCTTGCAATTGCTTACAAAAATGTGAATGCCTTGCTACTGTGAGAATTTGTTTGGTTGACTGGCAACCCATCTGTTCACAAGCACACATCACAAAGTGTATTTATGTCCACCCTTAAAAATTTTCCATGTATTTATTTGTAATTGTTTTTTTGTTTTTTTTTAGGGCTTTTTCCGTCGAAGTTTGAAAAAGAAAACCAAATATAAATGTGTTGATAATCAAAGTTGTAATATAGGACCAGGTAATAGAAATGGCTGTCCACATTGTCGTTTGGAGAAATGTATAACTGTTGGCATGTCTAAACAAGGTTAGTTTAATTAATTAACTAAAAACAAAATATATAATTTGATTCTAGGTGAATCTATCGGTCAGACTGTCACATTTTTTGGAGTACAATATCTCTTCTTGTAATTTAGATAAAATGGTCAAACTTGTAGATGTTTATTAATTGAATGTTTTGATTGAGTTTAATGATGAGCATTTTGCTTGTTTGCAAAGCAGAGATAAGCCATGTGATTTGTTAATGCTTTGGACATGTTAACTCGGTATCATAATTGTGTGAAAGTGACGAAAGTTGGTGTATAGGTTCATTACGTCAATACCTTGACTGCGTTCGAGAGTCAGCATTTTCTACCCAGGCTAAGCAGAGTGTTCAGGCAGGTTAAGCAGAGTGTTCAGCAGTTTAATTGCTTGATGCTTTATAAAAACAAAAATGTGCCAGTGTCATCTATTTATTTTGGGATTGAGACAGGGGACATGTGTTTCAATGTGTAGATTCCTATCCAAAAGACCCCTTTGAGTCCTGATTGTAATAATATTAATAAGAAGAAAAGGTTTCAGACTTAGTCAAAAAAAGTACAGAACAGACACAACTATTGTGGTGGGGGACATCGACCAATGGATGTTGTTGTTGTTGTTCATTACGATTTTAACGTCCAATACAATAAATATGATATTATAGACAGGTTGATTTAATTAAAGTATTTATATCTAAAGGGTTGGAAAATTGGGAAAAACACTAAAAATAAAAAAAGTTCTTAAAACCAATGGATTTTTATTGGTTGATTTTAGTCGTATTCAGCCACTTTAAGTTTGAAAAAGCTGATTAATAAAACAATGAACTGCCCACTATGGTATCATAAATCAATCTACTTTTGGCTACATTATAAGGGGTTAATTACTATCTGTTGGTTAAGCAGTCAATCAAACCGTAACAGTCACACCTCAGTGAGAATTGGTCACATGTGGTTAATGATCCAAATAATTAGCACATTTAACAGTAATTTTAATAACCTCATAAAACAACAAAGTTGCTGATTATTCATAACTGATCCAGTAACGTGGCCCTGTGAAAATAGCGCACATAATCAGCCAATTAAATTTTTAGAAGGGCGATTAGGATTTTTACTTGTATTTTGTAGTATTTACCACTTAGGCCTTACTAATTTGTTTTTCGTTTTTCAAGGTTTTGATAAATAAATAGTCAGTAATAGTCACGTGAATCACATGAAAGATGTTTAGTGATAAATTCAAAAACTTAAAAATTTGAAACTAAAAATTCTTGAACAGAGAAAATTAGTCTTTGTCCCAAAGAACAGTTTCGAGGAGAACAGAAAATCATATTGGTGTGGCCTTATAATTGCTTTCATGCATTTGTTCAATGTCTTACTAAGTGGGGAGCCACAGGGGCTGGTGGCTCAGTGAGTAAGACAATGGTTCACTAATCTGGAGGTCCCGTTATCGGTCCCTGTTTAAGCCTAGAAACTTCATCAGGATTTCCCCGACACGGTTTTCCCTTGTCAATAGTGTAGGACATAGGTTGTGGTAAGGGACATAGTCATTCATATGGGAAAAAAAACTAGATCCCATGAAAACATTGGCCTGTACATAGAAGAACTCTTGGCAGGCAAAATATCCCTCATAGCACACTGTATGGCGTATGCCTGTCTTCATTAGCCCAGTTGGAGCAGAACAGTAGGACTTTAAACCCCATTTCATTTCATTTTCTCACTACGTGATTTTATTATCACATGTTTTATTATTTTTTTTTTTGTTTCAGCAATTAAAACTGGTCGATATACTCACCAAAAACGTACACAAAATATACTGGAAATAAAGAAACTCGAAGGAATTACTCAGAAATGTATTTTAGACAGAATATGTGATCATTCGGAATCTGTGAATTCACCTAGTGCTATTAAAGATATATGTTTGGGGTCAGAGTCCGAGCATATTCTTCTGTCGGAAAACGATAATTTAAAGTTATTGTCTGAGATTGCGATAGATGCAGATCTTTTTGCGAGGGACTACAATACCAGTGGAGGTAGTTCAGTCTCTTCTTTAGACTTCAGCCCGAAATCCAGTCCAGGCAAAAAAGAAAATTTCTTGGAATCTGATAAATTAGAGGAGATTATACAAAGACTCACTGCTATTCATAGGGAATATGTTCACAGTTACACTGCCGAGGAAAGTAAAGAAATTGAAGAAAAAACAACAGATTACTATGTAAGTAAATAATCTTTAAGTAGCATTTAACAATTGAAGAGTCCAGGGGAAGTCACATTTTTGTCTTTTCGCATAAAAGGCAAAACAGACATTTGGACGAGAATGCTTGACACGAACATAAGCATTATTTGCTTGATAACGATATCTGTATGTGTATCGAAACGTAGCATGTTAATAAATTCAGAAGTAGTATATCCATATAAGTGTTTTTAACTCTTAAAGATAAATATAAAAATATCATATAATATATTATATTGACCTCAAGGTTACTAAATGTCATTGTACAGAATAACAGAGAGGTTTCGTAACTTCGCATTTACACTTACATTTAGATGGTTAAATGTCATCAGTTTTTGTGAGGTATGACGTGAAGCGCACGCCATAAAAGTGTGTCCAAGGGATAGCAGCCTCTATACTTGTTTAATTTCTATAATCCAGTTCATGGGCGTGGATTTAGAGGGGGACGTGGGGGACACGTTCCTCCCTTTCAATCGGAATAGGTCTCTGTCCCCCCCATGATTTTGATCGCCAGGACAGATTTTCAGGTTTATATCCACATGATGGTGAGCTTGTTTCTACGTATCTGGAACTGAATCAGGACTTGGAACAATAATTGACATTCTTCAAGAGCAAATCTTTTTCACTTGTGCACGAAGCGTTCCCCATTATGTCACCTGAAGTGAAGCAGATGTTCCCTTCTGTCGAAGCTCTTCTCATCTCACACAGCTGAACCCTGCTAGTTCCAGCTCAGCCGAGCGATCATTCAGCACTCCATGACGCAAAACCGACTGAACCACTTGAGGGCGTGTGCAGTGCATAATGACCTTCATGTCGCCAAGATATTCAAAGAGAACAGTCCTGATCGTAGAACGATTCACTTAACTTCATATACATGTATTTATGCAACTTTGATGTAGGTAGTCAATTTTTCCATATTTTCATCATATTACCCCTAGTTACAACTGGTACAGTTAACTGTTCGTAATTATTTGTTTCGTTTGGTAATGAAATGTTCCAGGTTCCAGGGTTCGTCCGTCCTCCCCAAAAGTTATGACAAATCCACACCCTTGATCCAGTCCATAAAGTTTCAATTAATCGTGGTTTTCACGAACTAAATCCACATAGAAGACCTTCTCCTTCATGTAGACAAAATAAGAAGAGGCTGAAACAAAACACGTGCGTGCTTTATTAATCTCATCTTTAACAATCTATCCGTGATAAAGGCCAATCGAGATAGTGGACCAAGTTTGTGTCGCTACCTACTAAGTGTAACTGTAAGTGTGAATTTATTGAAACGTCATAAGGTACACAGGGCTAGAAATTCATGCGAATCTGATTCGTGCAAGGATTCTCGCAAGAGCTTACATTGCGAATCTACAATGATTCAAGTAAAATTTTTCCAAAAAAAAAAAAAAATCTCTGAGAATTGTTGAGTCCAACTATTGATTTTCGGTCAGTATTGGCTGTATTTTGTCGGCATTTAATCTAGCCGATTATTAAAACAATGAATCCATCACTATGGTATCATAAATCAATCTACTTTTGATAAATTACAACGGGGTAATTATTACTTGTTAATAAAAAAAGTCAATCAATTTGCTTGTCGGCTACAACAACAGTCATACCTCATGGTTCTTAATCCGAGCAATTAGCACATTTAACGGTGATTTTGACAATCCAGTAAAAAAACAAAACACGCATGCTGATAATTCATAAAAGGTTCAGTAAAATACTCCACGTGGCGAATAAAGACGATCTTGTCATGGTTTGCGAATTGCACGTCTTCTACGCCCCGTCCGTGTGAATTCCAGGTACAGGTAGATATTAAAATAATAACTGGATCATACATTGATGGATTCGCTGACCAGTTGTTAGGTAAATTTAAATCTTTATTGAATATAATCCCCTGGTAGAACACTGAATACACGGAAAGAGAAACAGCGGGTATTTTCCCAGGACAGAATCTCAAATGCTGAATTCCTATGACACATATTGGTTGGAATTAGGTCAATAAACCAGATCTAAATAGCGTTTATACACATGCTGATTGAGGCTTAATTTTAAAAATATTATTCAAGCTATATCATAGTTGTACGAATTTTATTTTATAGCAATTTCAATTGTGGTTGTCTCATGATCATTGTGCCGTTTGTCTATCATCGACGAATGAATAAAAACTTTTGCAAGTTACGTGACTATTTACCTGAATGACAAAAGACTACAAATTGTGCTGTGAAGAAATGTCATGGTGCCATATCAACTTATTTTGACTAAGGCATTTTCTGGATATTAGTTTTGACACTATTTAAGTGTTTACCCAAAAATCCATATGATTGTTGTATTTTTATCATTGTTCTTGTCTAACAAGTGTGCTGATCATAAGATCTATCATTGAGTCATGTGGCGTGGTTTTGATTTCCCACTTGAAAATGACAAGGAGTGAGGTCGCCTGTCCAACCTTGTTGGTTTTTCCTGGGTTCTCCGGCTTCCTCACATGACTAAAGACACCTATCTCTAAGTGAATTATTGAAATAAAATTGAACCATGTGTTAGACCCGAAATAATCGAGCTCGTTTTGAGTGGATATTAAACCAATTGCTTAATCTTCCTATTGCAGGTCTCTCGCTTGATCGCAAATGTTATATAAACTATTAATTAGACATTTATTCACACAACCATCTCTTAATCAGACGGAACACCTGCGAGATTTAATCATTTAACAATATGGATACTCTAGACTTAATCTTGGTTGTCAAGTAACGTTGCTACCATAACAAACAATCTACGCTTCGCTCAGAAGTTATGTAATTTTATTGAAATTTTCAATATATTCATTTTTCATTACCTATTTTTGAACTAATCACCAAACGAAATGGATGCCACGCAATTCTCGGACAGGCTGTAATCTGAAAAGTGTCTATCCTTTCCAAGAGCTATCCATCTCGTAGGAAGGGCTAAAAATCTACTCTTTATCTAATGAATCGTAATTAAATATTAGAAAATCAATTTTAGTACGTTTCAGCATAAAGCCATGAAAAATGGCTGTTTGGGATTGATGAATTGAAAAACATGTGTCTACATTGGTGACTTTAGCAACTCTAAAACCTCGTCATTTGATTTGGGTTCTTTTTTCAGGAAAAGTATAAATTAAAAACTGAAGTATTTGGTAAACTTTCTTTATTATCTATGGAGCAGTATAAAGATTTCTACGATATAACGGGAATAGACATTGACAACCGTCAACCTATATGTAACGAGATGGCTACTGCAATGGAGTCTTGTATTCGTCGTTTAATTACTTTCGCCAAGTCTATCCCAGGTTTTACAGATCTCAGTATAGAAGATCAGTCTAATTTATTAAAAGGTAAGTTTATTAAAAAACTAGAGATCATTTCTCAATGTCATTCAAACAAATGTATGGGTATTCAGGGCTGTCGGTAATTTTTCACAGTTGATTAGCAGCACTGCTAATCAAAAAGTCCAATTTTGCCAAATTTGATTAGCAAATTTAAAAATTGATTAGCAGTTTTTCAGTTTCAATGTAAATACCTAGATATTACTTTAATTCATAACAAATATGATTAGATTCCATTCTGACTATTCTTAGATTTTTTTAGCACTGCCACAAGTACTTGTGACAGTTTATAAATGTGATGTAGACATTTAGTTAGGTCTTATGTCTGAAGCCAATTCTTGACAGTGACTTCCGAAGCCCCACTCATTTTAATTGTTATTTTTTTGTTACGTTAGAAATCTTCGTTAGAAAACGATCTCGTCTGCTTTTTATCGTGTATTACTATTTTTGTTCGGGCGCACCTCGATTAACTAGACACACGCGATATAAACAATAATATTTTACGGGAATTTTTACTTTGATTTATCATTTTACAATACGTTAACATGTATTTATTTTTTTTATATTTTATTTACAATACGTGCGATACACTGGAGTTATTTATTTCAAAATGAATATGATATAATTACTTGATGTCTCGCAACGTGAGTGCGACTACTTGATTCCCTATTTCCGGTTTAATAGTCCCTATTCATAGAGTTATGTCCCTGTGTTATATAGTATTGTGTCTGGGTAGTTCGAGAAGAAAATGTCACACGGAGAATTCAGTTTTGTTTATAAAATTTTATTCAACATTTTATACACGTTGAAAGTGTTGAGTAAGCCTTCTAGTCTTCAAAATGTGGATTATTCTTGTGACAATATCCAAAATGACAGGCACATTAATGATTCGCAGTAACTGCGAATCAAAAACGTCAGATTTTAATTTTTGGTTAGCAACGGACGAAATATGTATCGCAAATTGCGCTGCGATACTGGTTGTCGGCAGCCCTGTGGGTATTCGATATTCAATGGGGAGTTGGATGGCTGAATGGTTAGCGCGTGCGCACTGTATTATAAAGTCTGTCATTGAGTCAACTGGCGTGGTTTCGATTCCCCGGGTGTACGTGACAAGGAGTAGGGTCGCCTGTCCAACCTCGTAGGTTTTCTCTGGGTGCTCCGGTTTCCTCCTACTGCTAAAGATCCCTAAGCGTAAGCGGATTATTGAAATAAAATTGAATCATATGTTAGTCCCAAAATAACCTAGTTTGTGGTGAGTGGACGTTAAACCCCATTTCTCTCTCTCTCTCTCTATCGATATTCAATGTTGTTGGACTGATAATTAAAACTGTTACGGAATTTGATTTATTTTAATTCGCCCACACATAGTTTTTGATATATGTAGTTGATGCCCCTCTCCCTCTGTAGGTCTGTCCATCCTTCAACAATTGGACTGTGAACATGATAGAGGCTCCAGAGTTTGACATGTGTGGGCCGTGCTGGCAAAATGACCTATTGTGCTAGAGGTATGTCCCTTGTTCTGAAATCCTTGTAAACGGGATGGAGACTGTAGTTTTTAAAATTTAGTGGGAAGCATTGGGGTCATAAGGATTAACCCTATCGATATTAAACATACATTGTGCAAGAACTAAGCCTATTGCAGTTCTTTCTTTAGGCCTAAAATGTTATCTAAATTATTAAATAAGACATTTATTAACATGAAAAGACCTTAATCAACCCTTGATGCCATCTTATGTGTTGGATTTTCACTGTATTTGAATCCGATCTGCTGCTCAACGCTCATTGATGATTAAATCCAAAAATGGATAATCAAGACTATGTTTTTGATCATACAGACTTTAGTAATGGTATATACGTGACAAGGAGTAGGGTCGGCTGTCCAGCCTCATGGGTTTTCTCCAAGTTCTCCAGTTTCCTCCCTCTGCTAAAGATCCCTACATCCCGAACTGACCTAGTTTGTGTCAAGTGGACCTTAAAACCCTTTCTCTCTCTCTCTCTCTCTCTCTCTCTCTCTCTTGTTGAATTATCAAATATGGACAACATTCAAGGTTTTATTTCAGATGAGCTACTGTCAAGACATTGCTGCTGTATGGGTGTATTATATATTTATATAATTATATTTCTATTTTCCAGCCTCGAGATTTGAATTTTGCATCTTAGGTTGTTATAGAGGATATAATAATAGAATTAAAACAGTCCTCTCGCCAGCAGGTAATTGTATGTATATAGAAGAGTCCCGAAATGTCATCAAAGGAGATTTTATATTAAAGTGTTTTCAGTTTGCTGACAGCTTGAAGAAACTAGATCTTCAGTATGATGAGACAGTCATTTTAAGAGCCATTGTTTTACTGTTTAGAGGTAATTAAATTACATTGAAGGCAAAATAGACCTGACTTCAAGTTCACAAAGCATTCTCAGACTTAAGTTAAGAATTACCCAAAATTGTTTGTCTTATTTCATCTAAAATATAGCCCTTTATAAGAAAAACCATGTGCAAATATTTGTATTTCTGGATCAAAGATATTTCTCATAAACAATGATTGAAATTAAATTCTTATCTTAAGTCTGAGAACGCTTTGTGAACTCGGGGCCTGACTTAAGGGGAAATATTCACTTTCAAAACAAACACAGATAAACACAAGTAAACAGTAGGGTAACAATAAACGTATTGGCTTAAAGCGGAAATTGCAAATTTTCTAAGAAAGTCAAAACGTAATTATTTCTATGTCTTTTGCTCAATAGGTTGTCAACTCACAATTATATGATCATAGGTGTCATTCTCACACTTACAACTCATTTACACAGGAAATAATAACACAATTACCTCCCAATTACCTCCCTTGTTTTCTATTCTCCACCATGGAGTAGCTTTTTCCAACGTTTGAAAATGAAGAGGAAAATGATATTTTTGCCAATTTCACAGCTGGCAATAGTGAATTATAGGATTAATAGGATTATTCTTTAACAAGGTAGGACTGTTTATGGATACCATCTATTTTCAGGCTTTATTTTAATAAATTTTAAAAATATAACTTAAAAATTTGCAATTTCCGCTTTAATATTATTGAAGGTATGTGCAATAAGAGAGATATAGGGTTTCAAGCCAAGTCAATTTGGGTCTAACATGGTAAATTTTATGATCATAGGGGTCTATAGCAGCGGGAGGAAACCAGAGGAGCCAGATCAAATCCATGAGGTTAGGCAAGTGAAACTTCTCCTTGTCATGTATAAGTGTGGGATTTAAGTGAAACCACAGGGTTCAGTGATCAATATTATGATGTAAAGTGCACACGTTAAAATATTTAGCCACCTAACCAACCTTTCTCCAAAGAGAACAGAAGAGAGAGAGAAATAGGGTTTAACGTTACTCGGCACAGACTAGGTCATTTCGGGACTAACATATTGTTTAATTTTATTTCAATAATACGCTTGCGAGTAGGGTCTTTGGCAGTGGGAGGGAACTGGAGGACCCGGAGAAAACCCACGAGGTTGGACAGGCAACTCTACTCCTTGTCACGTACAACCGGGGATTCGAAACCACGCCAGTTAACTCAATGACAGGCTTCATGATACAGCGCGCACATGCTAACCATTCGACCATCCACCCCCCCTCCCCCCCAGAACAGAAGAAACTATGATACCGCAAACAATCTTGAAATAAACTTGTCTGATTATGTAGTATGACAAATGCCTTTTCATTTCATTTATTTGATTAGATTAAGTTTAAAGGACCTAAACTTCTAATTCAATATTTTCGAAAAATTCTAAATTAAAATTGCGAATTAAAATTCAGTATTGGTCCATTTCAATTAATATTGATGTTGTTATCTTGCTGTGAAAATGTGTGATCCTAATATCCAATATATATGACATGGTGAACATCTTAAAATCAGTAAACGAGTTGTATACTCCATGGTTTCAGGTGCCATTTGTAATGTCCTACAAGACAATACAGAAGTAATTTGTAATGGCAGATTCACAAACCACAAAATATTAACAAAAAAATGTAAAATGAAATGAAATGGGGTTTAATATCTACTGTTCTGCTCTGACTGGGCTAATGAAGATGGGCATATGCCATTCAGCGTACTGTGAGGAAATTTTGCCTAAACAAGCTGACTACATTGTCCCTTGCCAGGTCCTCCGTTCTGCACCACTGACAAGGAGGAACGACGTTGGAAAATCTTGGTGAACTTTCTCGGCTCAAAAAAAGATGTGTAGAATTTACTAATCAGACATAACAACTGTCATTCAATTTAGACTGTTCAAATATTTCACCGAACATAATTGATTATACACCCATTTTCGTCTTTTTTAAAGGTACGTTATGTGAGATTCGATAACAAGTTGACAGTTCTCACTATAATAGTTAAAAACTAGATAGTGTAAAGGCAATTTGCTGAAAATTTCATTCAAATTGATCCACTATGAACCGAGAACTAAGCGATTGAAATTTCCGCCTAGCCTCGATCATCATTACTAAAGTCAGTACGATAAACAGCATAGTCTTGATTATCCGTTAAATCATGAAGGAAAGTTATACAGTAAATCGGCTCATAATCCACTAAAGATCGCAGGCTAGCGATGCCATCTAGAATTGATTATGGTCTGGATAGGTTAATTAATGTCTAATTAATAATTTAGATAACATTTCAAGCCTAAAGAAAGACCTGCAATAGACAGATTTAGCTCTTGCATAATGTATGATTAAGTTTACAAAGTTTAGAGCCATACACCCTTTAAAATTTTACTATTTATAAAATCTTCAATATTTATTGATAACATACATGTATTTCAGATCGCTGTGAATTAGAAAATCCTGATAAAGTGGAAGAACTACAGTGGCCATTGGTTCAGTGCTTAATTTATCTGGTGAAAAAAAATCATCCTGATCAGCCTAATTTTTTTGGAAAAATAATGGACAGACTAATGGAAATTCGAACAATATCAGAAGAAAATAGTGTAGTTATGAAAAATCTACTATTAATTCCAGCTATCCAGAAAAATCCTTTATTATTAGAATTTATATCATTTTAGTGTTAAGGTGATGTGTGTAGCACAACCAGTATTGTGCACAATGTTTTCATTTTTGAATTGAAAGGCCTTGGCATAAACTGTCAATATGTACAATATGCATTAATGATTAGGAATTTATTCATGTTTGTGTTTTTGCTAAGAAGCAAAACTAAAATACATGGAGGAGTGTTGTAATCCTCCATTAATTTGTAAATATTTGTATATTGTGGGTTGGACAGGAGAAACTACTCCTTGTTGTTGTCACATTCTAGCAGGGAATTGAAACCACAGAACTTGATGCAATTACAGATCTTTTGATCTAAAGTGCACATGTTGACCCACCCACCCCCCTCTTGTTGATTAAAATTTCGTGAAAATGAATCCAGAAATGTTATTTGTGTTTGTCAAGACCAGTTTCTTTCATCATGAAGTTTGAATATCATCCCCTGGTTTAATTGTTTATATATATATAAAGTACAAAGGTACAGATATAAAAAGACATCCAGTTAGAAAATTCATTGCTTGATAATGACTAGAAAAGCCTAATCGAAACGTCGCTCAGTAATAAGCAGTAATTGTATTCCATAGAATTGTGATCTGTATACTCCAGTTCAATTATTAAATGCCATTGAACCATTTTTACTTTTTCATTTATTGAAATTCCTGATTTTTTAATTGTGTTGGGAAAAGGACTCAAGATATGTTCCATAAAATTTGTTAGTCCCAAATTTGTCAAAGTAATTTGTTAGTCCCAGATATATAAATGTAAAATATGATACTCAAAGTAACAATATATTTATCAATCCATGTCACTCAAATCGTTTCGAAACTTGTAAAAACATAATATATTATGGTTGTCTTACTGTATCCGAACACTTAACATATTTTCTCAAACAAACATTTAAAATGCATAGACTAAGATTGAAGCAGAGGCAATATCAGCTGGAATGATTTTTTAAGTCTGTGAAAGATTTGACTATTTGTGTCTGTGAAAGTCTGTGAAAGATTTGATTCTTTATAAGTCTGTGAAAGATTTGACTATTTGAGTCTGTGAAAGATTTGATTCTGTCGGTATTTTATCTAACTTAATAGAGCTATAAGTAAGCATATACGAGTATCATATTATTCATCAATAAAAGATATTTTAGATCTGATATTTGTTCATTAATTATAATTAAAACAGATCATTTAACTTGTGTTAATACCGGTGTTTATGATAAACTTAACAATAAATATAAGCTTAACTAAAGATACTATGTGCCAAATTTTATTATTCAACTTTTTCAAGTCCTCTACAGTGTAGAGTCTACACCCTAAATTATATTTTTGAATACTTTCAAGTTCTTTACACATCAAATGCGAGATTTTATAATAAATTGTTTTCGCTTATATATAATTAAAATGATATGCAGTTATTAATAGACATTATTCCGTCGTTTCTAAATCATTAATATTTAACAAATTTATCAAATGCAAGATTTATAATAAATCATTTATGCTTATTGATATAATTAAAAGGGTATCCATTTGTTAATAGACATTATTCCGGTGTTTCAAAATCATTTAATATTTAACAAATTTAAGAATAAATTGTTTTTGCTGGTCGATAGAATTAAAATGGTATGCAGTTGTTAAAAAACATTATTCCATCGTTTCTAAATCATTAATATTTAACAAATTTATTAAATGCCAGATTTATATTAAATTGTTTTTGCTGGTCGATTAACAAATTTATAAATAAATTGTTTTTGCTGATCGATAGAATTAAAATGGTATTCAGTTATTAATAGACATTATTCTAGCCTTTCGTAATCACCAACATTTATCATAGCTTTATAGTTTTTTTAGTTGTTTTTTTTAAATTATATTCTCTTATAGATGTATTATCTTAGAGCTAAATTTGCGTATTGTTATAAAAACTGTGTATCTAAACAATAGATACACACATCTTGTCAAAACAATGATAACTTTGCTCAGGATAAAGTAATTTGAATGAAATTTTCAATATATTCATTTTGCATTATCTAAATTTTATGTAATGTGTCCTTAAAGCATCACAAGTTGTTCTATATATGTTTCGCATGGGCGCGCTGTATCATAAGGTCTGTCATTGAGTCAACTGGAAGGGTTTCAATTCCCCTGTTGTACGTGACAAGGAGTAGGGTCATTTGTCTAACCTCATGGGTGTTCTCCGGGTCCTCCGGTTTGCTCCCACTGCTAAAGTCCCCTACGCTCAAGCGAATTATCGAAATAAAATTGAAGTATGTGTTAGTCCCGAAATGACCTACTTTGTGTCGAGTGGATGTTAAACCCCATTTATCTCTCTATATATATATTTTTCAAACTGTGATTCTTTGTTAGTCTTTGAAATTTTATAATACACCAATTTCAAATATATTTTCATACAGATGTTTTCTTTCTATTTCTAAAATTACTATTATTTAGATAGTTTTTAAAGTATTTATTATTATTAGAATATAATTATCATTTAGATATTTTATAAATTTTTTGTTATAATTTAATTGTTATTCAATATAGTGCCATTGTTAGTGTGTTCTTAGTTTTGATAGAATTAAAACCCATCAAATGAGGTATCCTGTTAAAATGAATTTTTATGTGTCAGTAATTGTTTTACAAAGATGGACTAAGGCAGCTTTTCATGTATCTTTAGAAGAAGAACAAAAACTTATTTTATATGTTTGTGATGTCATTGTTTTGTTTCCAGCAATAATTTAATTTTTGTTATCAAATTTGTCATCTGTATTATTATTTGTTATTGAGCAAGCCACAGTGACTCTGTGAGTAAGGTGGTGGCTCACTAACCAGAAGGTCCAGGGTTTGATCCCTATGTTGGCTAAGATTGTTCCCTGGTATTTTTCCAGTGTGGTTTCCCGTCACTGATGTAGGACAGAAGGCCTGACAAGGAAAATTATTTCGTCTTTTGGTTGGTGCAAAAAAACAAGGTACCATTATGCACGTTGGCACGCATGTAAAGGGATCCTTGACAGTTGGAATCTGTAATATGAGTAGGCAATAGTGCTGCTGTCGAGGCAAAATTTCCCTTCATAGCACACAGTATGGCCCATCTTCATTAGCCCAGTTGGTGCAGAAAAGTAGGTTGTAAACTCCATGTTATTTCTTTTCATGCTTAAGCCAACAATTAATTTTTGTTATCAAATCTATTGTCTGTATTATTATTATTTTATTGACATATACATTGCCTTATGTTTTCGGTAAAACTGTCCGAAAAGAAACATTTTGAAATCCCATCATTTCTCACTACCATGGACTAAAAACAATATTTTAAATGTTTGTGTCTAACTTGTGTTTGGTACATCATATAAAAACCATCTTGTTTAAGTTTCAAAATAATTTAAGGTGTTCAAAACACTAAAATGCTGGTATCATCTTTGTCTGTTGTAAGTCAAGCCGATCTTGTTAAACAAGGTCCGTTTTCTTTTTAAAAATTTAAATACATGTACATGTCCAATATTGTGAAAGTTGAATCTCTTTGGCGTGCACGTAAAAGCTCCCTTGGCAGTTGGAATTTGATAAAAGAGTAGGCCGCAGTCCCGCTGCCGGGCAAAATTTCCCTCACAGCACACTATATGGCTTCTGCCTGTCTTTTATTAGTCCAGTCAGAGCAGAACAGTAGGACATTAAAACCCATTTCATTTCATTTAGACTGTATTGCGTAAGCCGGTCATCATTAGCCCAGTCGGAGTAGGACGTTAAACCCCAGTTCATTTTGTTTTTCTTAAAGGAATTTCTATCTAAGATGATTCAGTTCCTTTCAGTGTTTATTTTTATTTTGAATTAATCCAAGCCAGGAGATTATCTAACCTTTATATATATATATATATTCTGAAACGTTAAAAAATAAATTTGAGGCCTATATATTCCTGTACATTTAGCCTGGAAAAACGAGATATTGTCCACAAAATACAAACGACATTTAGCAGCTTTAATTTTATATTTTTGATATGCATGTAGGAATTATTATATTATATAATACTGTGATATATATATTATATTGGTATAAAAATTTAATTATATTATATAATGGCAGTGGTGGGCAGGATATTTGGTTAGGGAGGGGTAATCTTTTTTTAATTCCAATTGTCGGTGATGATTGCTAGCACATACCTGAACCAGAATTTAATATTAGATTTTATCATCAACATCGCTCCAACCAATGAAAAGCTCAAATTTACATGTTTTATAGAAACAACAAAATAATATTCTATACTGGTATTATTTCTTCTGGTAAAAGGGTGGGGGGGAGGGGGGTACCTGGAACCGCCACTGTATAATGTCATAGACGAACAATATAATCTTTTTTTTTGTGTCTTAGGCCATTTAAAAAAATATATTCTAGTTTTGAGATAATCCTTCAACACTTATAAAGAACCACACGACCTGTTTATATTTTAAAAAATAAATATTAAAACAGTCTCATGTAAATGTTTTACATCAGTTACAGGAAATGTGGCTTAGATTCAGTTATCAAGTATGCAACCATGACACTGACAATCAGACATAATACTCCTACATTCCTATTAACAACATGATGCGATAAATGTAGTGCCTTGAAATGTGATGTTTTTGAGAAGTCATTAGGCCAGTAGTGATCCTTTGACAAAAATGTAGTGCCTTGAAATGTGCTGTTTAGGAAAAGTCATTATGCCAGAAGTGATCTGATTCCTTCAACAAAATAAAAACTCACCTCCAGTATCAGATTTTTGGTAAGGATTGTCTGAGAACCAGAGTATTTTATTTGTTTGGCCTTAGTTATATCTATTATTGCAAATTTAGCAACAAATATAATATCTTTGTATAACTTTTCTCTTTATGAGAATTATTATTCAGCTACATTTTATAATTTTCATGTATATTTTGTTCACCACATCTTGACAACATAAACTGGCATTTTGTTAGCATTTTTGTTATTATATTATTTTGTTAGCTGTGAATAAATTAGCTTCCAAGTTTTATCTAGATTTTTGTTTTTATAATGGCTGATGGTGATATGTAAACGTGTGGACTTAAGAAAGGTTAAGGTGCTTTACAAGAGTTATTTCCCTTTTCTCTTCAGACAGATCAAAGCTGCTGGTGACTGTGTCAATACAGAATGTACATTGCCTAAAAGGATGGATGGTAATTTTACCATAGTAGAGGTTTTATAACAATGTCAACTACCATCAATTGTGTAATTTCTATTGCACATGCAGCCAGGATGGATCTATCAATCTAAGGAAGCTGTACATTGCCTAAAAGGATGGATGGTAATTTTACCATGGTAGAGGTTTTATAACAATGTCAACTATCATCTATTGTGTAATTTCTATTGCACATGCAGCCAGGATGGATCTATCAATCTAAGGAAGCTGTACATTGCCTAAAAGGATGGATGGTAATTTTACCATGGTAGAGGTTTTATAACAATGTCAACTACCATCTATTGTGTAATTTCTATTGCACATGCAGCCAGGATGGATCTATCAATCTAAGGAAGCTGTACATTGCCTAAAAGGATGGATGGTAATTTTACCATGGTAGAGGTTTTATAACAATGTCAACTACCATCTATTGTGTAATTTCTATTGCACATGCAGCTAGGATGGATCTATCAATCTAAGGAAGCTTAAGTTTGGCCCCAGAAGCAAGTTCAGTCCACATAGCTTAAATATTTCTGGTCTACTGTAGATGATATGAAATGGGGTTTAACATGCTACTGTTCTGCTGTGACAGGGCTAATGTAGACGGGCATACGCTATACTATGAGGGAAATTTTGCCCGGACAGCGGTGCTATGGTATACTCTTATACATGCACACTAATGTTTACATGAGACCTCGGTTTTTAGTCCCATCCTCTGTCCTGCGCCACTGATAAGGGGGAACCACGCAAACAAATCTTGATTAAACTTCTCAACCAATGCAGGGATGAATACAGAATCTCCAGGTTAGCAAGCCACAGCCTACACACCAAGCCTCCATGGCTTCCTAGTGTAGATGCCAATGACTGGATGTTATTATATAGAATAGGGAAGTTTAGGGGTGAAGAATAGCTAGTGTATTATAGCTAGGTGTCCAAGTAATATTCCATAGAATTACGACTTAATAGTGTAGTGTTTTGTATTAATTCATTTTTTGCTCTTCTCTCATGAAACATCCCCATTGGTTAACCCAGAATTTGTTGTTGTGAAGTATCCCCACCACCACTTCCATATATGTTCCTTCTTTAGATCTTCCAATATTACTGTTGAAAAATATATGGACATAATTGCCTGGTCAAATTCATGTTCCTGGAATACTGGGTCATCATCTCTTGCCTAGGGTGTGATATTGGGTCATATTGGGATATTGGATCCTTATCTTTTGTCTGGGTTATGTTATTGGGTTCATGTCTCTTTGTCTGGGGTGTGATATTGGGTCATCTTCTCTTATCTAGGGTGGGATATTGCATCCTTATCTCTTGTCTGGGGTGGGATATTGGGTCCATATCTCTTGCCTAGGGTGGGATATTGGGTCCATTGTAGTACTATAGGACTTCTTCTTGTTGTTTCCTTTCTGGTGATATTTAATAAGACTACAGCATAAAATAGTTTCACAGCTTTTTTTCTAAGTTGTACTGGCTTTGCAGGTTCCTCGTTCTCAATGATAATGGCTGGTAGGAATTTCTGGGTGCGCTCTAATCCAGTTCGCCTCTACACCCTAATTTATACCCCTTAATTTCTGCAGGTCTTCAATAACCTTGATGTTAATTTCCACACCATATAAGGAATAAAATCTTTATTTCCCACAAATAAGATAGGAAACATTACCTATTTTTGGTCTATCAACCATAGGTCAATAAACAGCCAGAATTTGATAACTATTTTGAGAATGATTATAATTTGACGAAAATATCACTGTTTTTTACGAATAACTATACCCACGTTCATTAAGTACGTGAGATTTGACTTTATAGACAAAATTGAAGAGTTGGGTCTTTAGCAGTTGGAGGAAAACGGAGGACCCGGAGAAAACCCACAAGGTTGGACAGACGACCTTACTCCTTGTCACATTCAAGCGAGATATTGAAACCACGCCACTTGACTCAATGACAAATCTTCTGATTTCAGGTGCATGCATTAAACCACTAAACCACCCAACACCCCATAATCACCACCTAAAGGCACGAACCCAAGGAAAAGAGTACGATAAAACGAAAACCTTATTTTCAAAACCAGAAAATGTTCTCTTTTCAATAAGTTCCACCTTTCATAAATTAATAACAGAAACAATGAAAAATATAAAACGGTTTATTGAATAATAGTGTATGCTAAAAATGGCCTCTCTGACAGCCTTAACAAACAAGTCAGATTTACTAGAATAGAGTTAAACAACTCAATTACAATTAGAATATTAAATAACATCTGACCCTTAAAACAACCCCTAATTCTATGGTATACGGGATTGGAATCATTCCTATGTGTTTGTATTCAAAGAAATTAAAACATAGATAAAAAGGTGATTCACACTAGTTTTTTTACTTTGTTAAAGCCTCATAAAGTTTTTCTAGGATGTAGAAAACTCACTCCTAAGATTTTAATTAACAGTCCGCTTAGGGTATTAAATTTGTCTAGAAATAAATGGCAGGGAATATAATTTGCTGGTAAGGTCTAAAAGTTAAGGCCCACTGAAGATTTGGTCATATGTCACGAGATGTAAACAGGGCTAGCCCAACCCTAGCCTACAATCTCATCAACAGTCATGTGCCCTAACTCGCACTAATCAGTTCCCCTAACCCTATTTACATCTTGCGACCTATAACGAAATCTGCAGTGGGCCTTAACTTTTAGACTTTACCATCATGGGCTAGTTTTAATGTAATGTTTAAATTCTACACATTTGTCTAATTTATGTAATACACTAGGACTCTTCTCCAACATTTACATTTATATCATTCATTGCCATTTACTTCTAAAACATGATGAAATATGATTAAGAAAAGACTTTCTGATGTGAAAGACATAATATACAAGAAAACAGTAGTCTCGATTAACCAGACGCTGGATAATACATCAAAGAACCTGGTAAATTACAAATATATCTTGGTGATCATTTCTGAAATGTGAATATCAGTGTTTTTTTGCTCCCTGGAGAAGATATTTGTGTCAATGTATGAATAAACATAACTGATATTTCAACAAAACATATTTTGACCTTTAGTTATTCGGGGTCTTGATTTAGGGGACAGTTGCAAAATTTCAACAATTGAGTCCAAACCAATAACCCCAGGACAAATCTCGAAACCTGTCCTTTCCAGTTTAGGTTATATGTTTAAGCACAAGAGTTGAAATTTTGTGAATTAAAAGCTGCTAAGAAGGGGAATCAAGTGTCTTTTTTCTTAATTATGTTTTTCCCCTTCAAAGAATGTTCCACCATAAATCAGGGTTTCACAAAATTTATCTTTGTTAAGCTCAGTCATTAGTCACCAAAATATTTTTGCTATTTATCAGGATTCCTAATGGCTTAATCTTGAGTCTCGTTTGAAAGAAACTAACAAGAGAAAAATAAGTAAAATAACATGTCACCTCCATTGCTAATGGTAATAATAATAATAATAATTATGGAGATGAATGAGGTATTATGGTAGGAAAAAAAAAACACTGGTGAATTCTATCTTACAGTGAATTATGACTGTACCAGGATTTGTATTAACGACATCTTAATCTTTGGTGGACATCATCATCAGTATTAATATAAAAGTGGTGAAACTAAAATAAAGTACCTTTAAGTCCATTTAAGCAATAGGAATTCCTTGCAAACTACAACATTGTGAAAGATGAATCTCTAATAAGAAAATCGGTCCAAAAATGGTTCAATTCTGTTCAGGATTTACAAAGATATGTTGAATTCAAATCGATCTATGCTGCTCGTGCCATGTATTAAGCCCACCGCCATTTTGTTATGAGCAAACAGAAATTGATAGGCCTATTTTAAATCTGATTGAATCCAAGCCGGGAGGTTATGTAGCCTTGGGTTGTTTTTTTTTCAAATTTTCTTATTCAAATGTTGAATAATCAATCCAAGTACATACTACCGTGGAATAAGCTGTGACAAATTTGATATTTTAGTGAAAAATGCAAATCATGTATCGTTACTTTAACTTGTTTCTTATGTATATTTTGGCATTGGAATTTTTCATACCAATAAATGAGTTCATATTATTCCATCGTCCTTCAAACAGCTAGTTCAAAACTTTGAAACCTATGGGTGTCGTTTTTTCTTTAATTTTTGCTTTTACTAAGCTATTTCATGTGATAAACACTAGAAACCAAACAGAGGACTAGAGTTTCTGATAATTTCATTTTTTCTACAAGTTATTCAATTTAAGTATAGATAAAAGTGAGTGAGTGAGAGAGAGAGGGAGAGAGAGAGAGAGAGAGAGAGAGAGAGATGGGGTTTAACAATTAACATCCACTTGACACAAGCTAGGTCTTTTCTGGACTAACATTTCATTCGATTTATTTCAATAATTCACTTGCGCGTAGGGATATTTAGCAGTGGGAGGAAACTGAAAGCCCCAGAGAAAACCCATGAGGATGGAAGTCGAGGTAGAGTATTTAATCGGGTGGATCGGATGTATTATTTCATTAAGTGGGGGAAAGCTCGGTACAATTAACTTTTTGTTTCGAAAGATTAACTTACAGTTACATCTATCTTAACACTGGCTTTACCTTTAGACACAAAATCTTGAAAAAAAAACCCAACCCACTGTCATCCAACAAAACTAATCAACACAGAAAATATAAGGAAATCAACATTTTTTTAAGGTAGGAGGGTGAGGTTTTGGGGGGGGGGTCAAAACCAAAGAGGTCTAGTCATTTTGAACAAGATAAATCTCATTTGATCTAAAGATGGATTACAATTTCAAAACAAGATACATATCCTGATACCCGTACTATTAATTCAGTAACGCAATGCATAGAAGAGGTGTTATACTTATA